TTCCCTTTCAACTTGGGCCAAAGGGGTTGTTCCCAAGTCTAAGGGCGCACCTAGTTCGTGTCTTTTCATGTATTCCGGTAGCCTCTTTGAGGACAAACTCAGCCTCATGGCTCTCTTCAATCACTCAGTGCTCTGAGCGCCCTGCCCTTCGCTAGCGCTCTTTCCAGCAATGCCTCGATACTGGTCTCTCTCTCTCTCTCTCTCCCTCTCTTTGTTTGGGAACCCTTTTTGGTTGGCTTGTGCCCTTTTGCTTTCAGGTTGGTTTGTAAGGGAGGCCAACTTGTGGTTTGGGACATGGTGGACACATGGCAAGCGCTTGACAGATTTAAGGCAAGCACGTGTAGAGATCAGCTCACGCTCGAGGTCATCGGATGTCCTTGTGTCATACACTTGGACATGGGCGCCATCCAACCGCCGTTGGCCCAAACGACCAGCGAGCATCCCTCGCTTGCGACCAAACAATTGGGAGCGCTTGGGAGCTTCTTCGACACCTCCAACTCACGAAACGGGAAGTTGGGTTGGTGGTTTGCCTGGATGTTTTCCCATAAAGACCCTTGCAGGGTACCAAGCAAGGGTTGCCTGTGGGCCACCTTCAGGAAGGCTCACTTGAGCCCCGTTTCAAAGTCCAATCCAAAGCAGCTGGGTCTTCCAATCCTTTGGAGTCCCTCTCCGAGCATGGCACCTGACTCACAGGTCCTGGCTTGGACCACTTTCCTCTAAAAGGGGCCATGTTCCTGGTGGGGGAGAAGAAAAGAAAGAGCAAAAACACCCTTTTCCTGGTGGGTTCCATGGCAAATGTGGCCAGGGTACCCACTTGTTCCGCTTTTTGCTTTGGGAAAACCAAACGAACATTCCCCCAAAAACTTGCTGGCGCGATCAGTCAGCAGGAAATAAAACCCGGACCTTCCCGAAGAAAGGGCGCCAAGTCGGAAAGGGCACGTCGTTCCCTGGGGCTCTTTCCGTTCCGTTCCCCGACTCTCCCGATCTCGCCGGAGCCGTTCGCCCAGCGGCTGGCCGGCGCCGGCACGGTCCACCCAGTGCCGGGAGCCGCGCCAGGCCCTCGGACGACCGAGTCCACCGACTCAGCTCTCGGTCAAAGGGACAGCAAAAGGACGACGAAACTTCCAGCGAGTTTGCGTGGAAACCGGGGGAACAAGTTTTGGGTGGGCGGCCAACAACATTCAGGGAAACGGAAACCGGGGCTGCCCTCCAACCACTTTCAGGGGCGGCCAAAACAAAGGGAAGCCGGAAAAACTGTTTGGGTGGCCATTTTTGGGGCTGGCTGCAAACAGCAAATGAATTGGAAAAAGAAGCAGAAAAACGGGTGTCGACCAACCAAGTTGGGGCTTTGGGAAAGCAAAAGGACAACCACCTCTTTTTCCTTTTTTTTTTTTTTTTGGGGGGGGGGTGTTTATTGTAAGGGGAGATCCACCAGGATTTTGTTTGACCTCCACTTTACCTTTGGTTGATGGGCAGAAAAATCGAAAAGAGGCTGAGGCTTTGCAAAGCCAGGCTCCCGAATTTGCACGAACAGATGTTGGAACGTCGACCCCAGATTCATCATGTCAGATTCTTAGGGGATATGTCCTCCAAAAGGCAAAGATTTCTTGCGAAGCACTCAGAAATAGGCGTGGGTCAAAGATAAACCAAGGCGACCGCAGTCCCCTGGTCCATTTACCCGGGTTCCATTTTGGGGTTGCCGCAGGCCTCGCCGTGAAAAAAAAACACCGGCAAGCCGTTTGGCTGGCTGAGTGCAGCGCTCCCCCACCGCGTTGGTGTCGTACTGCTGATACCAAAACTCGGTGCCCGCCTAAGGGAGAAGCTCCCAAGGAGGACACACTGACTTGCTTGTTTTTGGGGCCTTCTCCTTGTTTCCCCCTCCCCCCAATAAAGCGCTGCGTCGAACAGACACTGTGCGCTATCGCAAAGGCAAAAAGCCCATCTGCTTCTATGAATAAAAAGCAACCCGCGGGCAGAACAATCAGAGTTGGATCCCCCCAAGTCCAGAACCTTCATGCGTGAGCTCGTTGTTTTTTTGTTCCTTGTTTTCCGTTTTTTTTCTTTTTCGGCTCGCTGTCATTTGCCCAGACCCTATTTCAACGGGAATTTACCGCTGGTCCCTCACAGGAAAATCCACCAAAGTGGGTTTTGGGCAGAGGTTGTGGATCTCTTCTGGAGGACTATTCTGGTAGTTCCCATGCTTGAAACCCTTCCCTTGTGAAAAACCATCCATATGCAGGTGTTCTTCCGCACTGTCCAACATGTGTTCAAAATTACGTGGCGGAGTTGCCAAAACTGCATCAAGAGATTGTACACCTCTTGTATGCGCATGGCACGCTCCTTTTCGCACAGCAGGCCTATGCAAACGACGTGCACTTGAACAAAGAAGATTATATGTGTCAATTGATCAACTAGCGTCCATATCACACCTCCCCCGATTTCGGGAAAAGAACATCGAGATGCAGAGACGCTTTCTCCGGAAGCTTGCGCGCTGAGGACGGAGCGGCTTGCTGGGCGCGGCGCTTCATGGCCTGCCGCTGGTTCTTTGTGTTTTTCTCCCACACGGCGGGGTTTTACTTTCTGACTACAAAAAGGTAGACTTCCCAGGCATGGTTCATTACGTGCAGCGGCCCTGTACATTGAAGGACGCAAAGGGATGGTTCATTACCCCCAAAAGGGGAACCACAGGGTCCTTTGCTAGGCGACCAAAAGGGTGGCTTTACCATTGGTTTGTTGGTTTTCGTTTCAGGCCACAGCAAGGGCGCAACCTCAAAAAAAGACACACCTTACAGCCAGTGTCAAGGCCGCACGGAAAATGTTCATGTTCGGCCCATACGTAGTGGTTATTCAAACTAATCGGAATCATGTGGATGGAGAACATCCCAATATGTGGCATCACCGAAGAATACTGGGATAAATTACTTACCAGCTGGCGCAGGATTTTGCCCATCCACAGCTCGTATTCAATAGAAAGCAGGGACAATAATACTTGTCCAAGAGAAATTGTTTGAGGGATACGTCCATCCAAGCATGACATATTATGATAGATTATATACTTCGAGATGTGTTTTCCCTCAAACAACGTATTCTAAACCAACCCAAAGAAAGATACCCCATAGAAAACAGAGTACGTTTCAACCATGGGCACTTAGAGGTATGGGTTAAAACGTACCCTCTAAAAATCACACCCCCATGTTGTTTCCTTTCCAGCCTTCAGTGACATGGGCTCTTTCAGCTTTGGCTCCTGCCAAATCGCATGGTCGGTATCATCGCGAAGGACAAGCCACAGAAACCTGTGTGTGTGTTGTTTGTAAGGCTGCCCCTTTGCAGGTTTGAAGGGAAACCAAAGGGCAACCGTAACATAATGTGTCCTATTTTGAAAAGGAACCCAGCGGTTTGTTGATTCTTTGACCCCCTGGCCAAAAAAAGTTGTTGTTTTTCTAGTGGGACACAAACGAATCAACCAAATCCCGCGAAACGCACCGTCGAGTCTCTCAGCGGCGCAACTTCCGCGGCTCCTCCAGAACCACGGAGCAGGGGCTCACGGCCTTTCCCAGCACCAGCACCAGCGCAACCAGCGCAGCCGCACCTGGCGTCCAGTTTTTCGTTTCGTTTCGTTTTGTTTCGTTTCGTTTCGGGCGAAGAGAAAGTGTGTGTAACCTTTTCAAGGTTACATATTAATGAATTCGTGGTTGAAGACAACGGATTTCATGGTTAGAAAACGTTTCGTGGTTAGGAGTGTCTCTGGCACAGAGATTGGATTGAAACAACAAGCAGGAAGATGGAAAAAGCTCCCACGGTTGAGCTGGAGTTCACCTATGTGGGATGAACATTCAACGCCAGGCATGTGGAAACCCCAACATTGGGCTTCGGCTTGCAATGGGCTTCCCTTTAAGACAAGCACACAACGCCCCCCAAAATCTGTGGTTAGATTTTGTGTGGTCTTCCTTTGACACACGCTTTGATAAAGGCTTCCGACCCCCCCACCCTCCTCCCCCAAGGAAAAAAAGAGACATGCCCGTGCGAGTGTGTCTCAAATTGGGGACCCCATTCAGGTGCTTGGGTTGCTTCCGTTTTCTCCTTCATGCCATCTGGGTGTGGGTCAAACATAGGTGCCCACAATGGAATCTGGTAAGTGGAAGCATGGACCAAAACCTGCGGCCCCCTGGCGTAATGTTGACCCATGCCCATCCAAAAAGAGGCAACCAGACTGCGAGAAACGCCGCCAGCCCCGCCGAGGCGGAGCTTCGCAAGGCGAAACCTGAGGGCTTGTCACAACAGGACGTGGTCCTGACCCTTGAAACCATTCCCTGTAAACCAACCGACAAAAATGGCGCCCTCAACAACAGAGAGTGGTCTCCAACCACGACCAAGGGGAGGACCATGGCCCAACAACACCCCCAACCTAGAATGTCAAAGCAGGAGCTGTGATCGTTTAGGAACCCTGATCATGCAAAAGGGGGGGGTTCAAATGCCCGGGTTCCTGTTGGTGTCCTGAAATCCTTATCCCAAGCGGGTGCGCGCCAAAATTGCGGGGACCCCAGGAATGAGGGGGGTGTTCCTTTTGCTTCCCTTTAAATCAACTCTTAAAAGGGTACCCTGAACAACGACACGCCTAAGTGGGGTCCCTTGTTCTTTTGACTCAGTGTGATGCACGCTCCAGGCCTCGTCATGGCTCTCACGCAGAAACGCTTCTATCTCGAGCCAACGGCTGGAGCACAGAGCTGGCTTCATGTTTGTTTGCCGGAGACCATAGCAGGAACGAAAGCAAATCAGTTTGAAGAGAGAGACAAAGAAAAGACCGACCGACCGACCGGCCGACCCACCCACCCACCCAACCACCCACCAACCAACCCAACAAACCAACCAAACCAACCAAACCAACCAAACCAACCAAACCAACCAAACCAACCAAACCAACCAAACCAACCAAACCAACCAAACCAACAGCAGCCGATCAAAAAAATGATACTCCCTTCCATTCGATTCACTGCAGCCGCCTCGACTTGGACCTCAGAGCGCACGACGCACGACGCGCACGAAGCCAACTTTGCAAGATGGTATGTACAGTGAAACCAGCTTTGGACCCCAGGTTGCATGCCCATTTAATGGGAAAGGAGAGAAAGTGACATGAAGCCAACCGGTCTGAGGAGGCTGGCTTTCACACAACTTCTTGGTGTTCCAACTTACTTTGACAACCAACAATACTGCTTTGAACAGGCCCCCAAATTAGCGTTCTTCCCCAAACTCCAGATTCCGGAGTCGCTAGGTCAAGCGTTCTTGCGGGGCCACGGCTTCTTTTGCGCCATCCGTGCAGGGTGGTCCTCCCAGACCTGATCAACGTGTGGCTGAAGGTAAGCCTACGCCATCGCTTGAAGGAATTGGTCTTCAATTTTGAGGCCCTCAAAATTGGGAGACTTCCTTTTGGTGGGTTGGTTCATTCTCTCCAGACACCGAAGCCGCGAGAGGAAAGGTCGCCATCTTGAGCCATGCCTCTCTGTGTGGATGCCCCATGGTTTTAACATGAAACCCTGCATACCGCCCACGTCGGGAAGCATCCCGGTGCCTTTCTTTGACACAGAAGAATCTCTGTTGGCCGCAGGTGGGCGATGCCGCGCCTGCGCCTTGTCAATCTCCTCCTCCTCTTTTTGCCTGCGATTTGTTCGACATCACCTGGTTGCCAAACTGAAGTGAGCTCCCTTTAAGTGAGGGTGATGTCGACGGCAGAAATACAGGAAGCCTAACCATGCTGTACTCCCCCAACTCTGTGGCTGTATGGTCTTTCCTCAAACATGATAGATTGGCTGTTGGCTTCCTTTTTAACAGATACCCCTGGTTTCCCTGAAACGTCACTGACATGGAAAACCACCACTCATAGGAGACTGTGCCAAACTGCACTTTGGCTAAACACCCTCAAAAACCGAGACCGAGACATAACTCCAAGGATGTCCAACAGGTCCTCCCAAACCATCCAACACCCCGCCTCCGCTGCTCCTCCTTCTTCGCGGCCTTCTCAGCCTTTCGCAGCTGCCTCTCTGCCTCCTGCGTCAATCCCGCAGGCATCCCGCGCGGCAGCTAAAAATTGGTCGCAGCGGTCTCGCAATTGAGGGACCCCCCCCCCCCCCGCAAATATGTTGAAAAAAAAAAATATTAAAAGAAGAAAAAAAATCTGGTTTTCTGCGGCTGTGCCTTGGGAACAGCCAAACCAAACCATCGCAACTGCTCGGATCGATCTCAAGTTCTCCTCCGAGTCGAAGGGGAAGCCCTCCATGCCCGGCATGGCCCAAGGCATGGCCTTGATCCCGGGAAAAAGCATGGGATCCGACAAAGAGAGCGAAGGCTGACGTGGCCGTGGGTCAAAACCGTTTTGGGATCCCGCTTTGGGGTAGGTGAAGTCACCAGCCATTTTAGAACCTATGTTAGGGGGGATTGGGATGTTCACTGGGGGTACGGGATTTTGACCCATGGCATGTTTGTGTTTTCCATCACCCACATCACAAAGAGCAAGGCTTTCTGATGGCGTGACCAAAAAAAAACGTGCGCGTGCCCAGTTTCGGGAGGGAAAAAAACAAAAAACAAAAAAACATCCGAGCTCTGCGCCCAGGGCGGCATCATGGGCGGCATGCCTGACCAATTTCCCCTTGCAATTTGGGAAGGCAAGGGATCTTCCCCCAAACGACCCCTCAAGAATGAAACGTGGAAAACGGCAGTGCTGCAAAACACGTGCAAGGCGCACTTGCGCACGTCTTGAATATCTGCCCTTCTTCTCTTGGAGCATCCACCCGCCTATCCCAAACCCAAAAGACCAGTCCCCGCGCCTGGCATGGGCATGAACGGCGGGCCCGGCCAACCTGACGCCGCGAAATCGGCCGAAATCCGCCGCGCGGTCTCGCGTCGGCCGAGTTCTTCGCGGCTGAGCTCGGCGCCCATGGGCGGCGGCGGCATAGCCTGGCACGAGAGGTTGCGCCAGTCCGAAGAAACTGAACGCAGCGGCGTTAATCTCGCAATCATGAAGACAGAATGCTGTTCAAAGGCGCATCCATGTCACAATTCCAACAATGTTTAAACGTAGTTGATTTGCTTTCCAAGCGTGTCTGCTTCCACTTATCCAAATCAATCAGTGATGGGCACTGGACTGATAGCGCGTGCTGCTCCGATCGCCTCCTTCTCCCGGTCGCGGTGACGCTCGCGGCCCTTGTGGGACCGGTCCTTGCGTCGCTTGGATCGCGAGCACGACCTGGGAATCGACCGGCTGGAGTTTCCCACACACCGCCCACCCTAAGGCCCGGGAACCTACCTGGAGGTCCCTAAACAAACATGGATTTCCAGATGCCAACCAGATTCCATGTTGGTGGTAGGGAGGGTTTTAGGGATGTATAAAATTGCCTCTCTAGCGCTTGGTTGGTGTGGATAGGGGCACGACAAGCAAGCCAGCTACATGTCGGTCCCGAAAATTCAGAAGCGGCCCTATGCCGACGTAGTTGAACAAAAAGTTGAACCCAAGGTAAAACTGGAAACAGGCCCAGGTAAGACTATTGCCCCACCAAGGGCTTTTCGCGCCAGGGAAAAGCTCTGGATATGTTTGCCTGCCAAGCACATGGCCGGCCTGGATTTCGAGGATTTCGATGAGGACCGAGAGTCTGATCGTCCCTTTGACGAATCAGACCTAGCGAAGCTCGTGGGACCCTCGCCCACAAGCAAAAAGAAGAGGCCTTGACGATCTGGAAGCCTTCTTCTTCCTGGATCTGCCTCGGGGCACGTGAAACTTGGGGATTGGGGTACAAGAATTTAAGGCTACGAGTAAAAACTTTTGGGGGGTTGCATAAGGAAAGAAAACCAAAGGACAACACCACCCAATTTCGGGGCGTTCCCCGAGTTTCAGACCCTTATTTGACTGCTTGCTGCTGCGCCACTTCGCTTCTTGTCGCGTCGCTTCCTTCTTGAGCTTCGCTTGTGCCCCCTGGGACGTGTGCATGTGTGTGTGTGTGTGTGTGCATATGTGCTTTTTGGGGGGGACGCCCAAAATGGTTGTGCCACCAAAATGGGGTAACCTGAAAAACTGACACCCATATGATTCTAACAAGTACTCTCAACAAACATAGAAGCGTCATAAGTACTTTGGTGGAGATTTCCCTGGCCCCTCACAAAGTCAAGAAACCTTTCCAGAAGACCACCAAAACTGAGAGACTGGAAGAACGATGGCGGAGTCCAACCACCAGCAAACACCTGGAATTTGTCTTGGAAAAACCTGGCTTGGAGCATCGGAGCTCTGGACGAAGGAAAACTACGAGCAAGCCATGCCTGGAATGCCTGGAGCGGCCCTTCCCCTCGATGGTATACCGGCTCCAGCCTGGCCGGATCTTTGACCCCACAAAGTGAAACGCTTTGCAACTCTAAGCAAACGGCTTTACCCAGCAAGCGAATTTACGAACAGATCCCTCGCCTGATTGTTTCAAGATAGATCTCTGACCATTCACCCAAGAGTTTGCTGCTTGCTGCACCCGGGTTTCTTGTGGATCGATCCTTCGGTTGCGGAATCTGTGACCAACACTTGGGGAACCCCCCCCCGAAACGCTTGGCTGGCGGCACCGCTCTCGTGGCTGGCTGAGCGGCTCTTGCTTTTGCTCTTGCTCTTGCGGCCTCGGGCGCGAGTCGTTTTTTGAGAGCCCTTTCAAGGGTCCTTAAAGGAACCAAAGCAAGCCATTCTGGAGGTCCGTTTGAAGACAAAGACAAAGTATGCTACTCCGTGTTTGGGTGGACCTTAAACGCTGGCAGGTAGGCATCCTGCAGCCATGAGTTGGATTCGTCCCTTCCTTTCAGGGACCTCCGAAACGGACGGCTTGCACAACCCAAGACCTGTCTGTCGGCTGAGCCGAGCCCGCGGCCCTTCTCCTGCGACTAGGTGAAAAGAGAGAATTTGGGAATACAGTAGGGGAGGGAGGGAGGGGAGGGGAGGGGGGAGGGGAGGGGAGGGGAGGGAGGGGAGGGAGGGGAGGGAGGGGAGGGGAGGGGGAGGGGGGGGGGGAGGGGAGGGGGGGGGGGGGAGGGGGAGGGGGAGATGGAGATGGAGATGGAGATGGAGAGGAGGAGGAGGAGGATGAGGAGGAGGAGGAGGATGAGGGAGGAGGGAGGAGAGGAGAGGAGGGAGGAGGAGGAGGGAGGAGGGAGGAGGGAGGAGGGAGGAGGGAGGAGGGAGGAGGGAGGAGGGAGGAGGGAGGAGGGAGGAGGGAGGAGGGAGGAGGGAGGAGGGGGGAGGGAGGAGGGAGGGGGGGAGGGAGACTTGACGCAAGCCCAATGCGCAAAGGGCCCATTGGTTGGCGCTCATTGATGTCCTATAGGTTGAGCTGCCACTTGAGCTCTGGGTATCTGAACATTCCTCTGGCCTTATTCCAATTGGTTCGTTGTATTTTTGGAAAGACCCAACAAGCGGAGGTCATTCAAGCCGACCCCTCAAAATCAACAGCGTCCGCGCCTCCGGGGACTTTGCAGCCTGCCGCCGTTGCCCCCTCTTTTTTCAGTAAGACAGCAAAGGGTTGCTTGCCGCCCCCCCCTTCCCCCCCTTCCCCCCCTTGGGTGGGTCTCAACCATGAAGAATCCACTTTTCCGCAGGGGAAGAACAACAGCTCCAGCAGCGAATCTTCCCGGCTCAGGAATTGAGACTCCCGCGAACAGCTACCCCACGTCCACTGCACGCCTGGGGCTTGTCACCGCTGGGGCTTCTGGACGGCGAATCCTGCGGTCCATCGCAGCCCAACGTGGGCTAGAACGAAGGTCTCATAGCATCGCCACACTTGGCCCCCCTGTAAAAAGTGTTTTTTGCTTGTGGTTGAAACGGAATATCGAAAAGAAAGAACGGCCAAAGCAGCAAGAAGCTTAGCCAAGTCCGCCAATCAGAGGGTTTGTTGCCTGCGGGGTTGTGTGCGAAATGAAAAAAGCACGACGTCCCACTTGTCGGGAGTCTCTATCCAAATGATATGATATGATAGTGCGATTTGGATGCCCGCGCCGTCCAAGTTTCTTCCCACCATGCTGAAAAGGACAACTTGAATTCAGTGTTTGCCCCAGCGCTCAGCGCTCATCTGTGCAAATGTGCACCCGGACTGATGCCACATGAGGGGTGCTTCCCCATCATACGCAAAGCCCAAAGTGAAGAATCGGACACGATCAACAGCTTCCTTCATTCTGGACTCCCAGAGAGAGCCCCTGGAAGGTTTCGAAGGAACCTTCTTAGGGGTGCAAGCCCTTCGCTCGGCTTGCTACAGGCCTCGAGCGAGTCCCTCAGGCCTTTTCCAGAGCACCCGAAGAGCTGCTTCTTCTCAAAACTCCACTAAGAAGGGCACCCTGGTGCGCCTTTTTCTAGGGGACCGGCCAAATGTTCGGCTTTCCTTTGGTTTCCCTTTCAAACCACAAAAAAAAGTGTCCCTTGCAAGAAAAACAAAAGAAAAAACCGGCACCATTAAACATAAAAAAGAAGAAGAATAAACACGGCAAAAGAAGAAGAACAAACAGGCGCGGAAAGTAATTTCCGGAATCCAAAAAAGAAGAAGAAGAAAACAGGCACCATTAAACACACACTTGAACTCCAAATGGAGAGTGCTAATCTTTCGAGTACAACTGATGAGTTTCGAGTACAACTGATGAGTCTCGAGTATGGTGAGCTTCGACTCGCATAACGCTTGGCTTCCCTGTAGCTACTTGAAAAGGGCACACAAAGCAACGGCGGTTCAGGGGGGGGACCAAAAGGACATTCACAAACATCACAATTGCAGGTACGTCCAACGGCGTCCCGTTGGATTTCACCAGCAAAGAAGGGCGTCTTCATTGGCGCAGGTCCCTTCAATGCTGCCCGCGCCCCCTGCTGCAGCGGAAAAAGGTTTTGGTGGCAGGGTATTCTGCCACTCCGCACACACACGCCCCTCAATGAGGGGCGAGGTTTCTCTTTTTCTGCAGGAAGATCACATGCTCCAACCCGAGTCTCTATCGTTGACCAAAATATCCACCACGGCGAGGGGAGCGAGACACAGCCCTAAACCGCTCAGAAGACGGGAACGAGAGATCACCACGTTGAGCGTTACGAGTGTCGCCATAGAGGACTGAAGCGAGTTGCGAAGCAGTCTGGCGATCACCATGGGAAAACGGGGTGGCGTAGGCGAACGTCTCCTCAATTGGAACGGCATCGGAGTTCCGAACTTGAGCAAGAGATTGATCATGCGGATAATGAGTTGCGAAGGACTCCATCCGAGACAAAATACGCTGGTATCCCTGATGCTGCCAGTCGCGGATGTTCCACGCCTGGACATGCTCATCGGGATCAGTCACCCGCTGCCATTCCCGAAAAGAATTTTCAGGTAGATCAGGTACAGTGTCACCGCGGTGCCATCGCTGAGGCTGTCCTGGAGTGTATATCCGCACCCACTCCTGGTCCTGCCAGACCGAGTATTCAAGCCATGGGTGCTGCTTCGAATCATCGATGTCCATGTCAAAGTGAGAGGCAAGGATTGTCGCGGGCTCCGATCCAGCTGAGAGAGGAACAGGCACCATGCACAACCATGTACAAGCAACAACCAAGCAAGATCATGCAAATGTAAAGACCACCCTTATTTTGTACGCTGTGCCACTCGTGTGAGTCTAGTCCTCAGTCAGCTCGAAGATGGGACTCGCCTTGTCCCTGTCGCTGTCGGAAGGATTGACGGGCCGGTAGGGCTCGGAGACCCCAACCGTTTCCGATGGCGTGTTTCCACGCGATGCACGGACTGGTTGATGAGGTTGGGAAGCGTGACGTGCGCGAGCTGTCAGTTGTTGAGAAATCCCCTCTTGGAGACGAGTCAATTCTTCGGTAGAGAAATCGGCCGCATCCGAGGACCTGAGAATCGCTTCTAACAGCTGCGGTGACATACTCAACGCCGCAGACTGCGTGGCCACGCTGTGATGATCAGGAAAATACATGGAGTCAAATGCATGACCAGCTTGAGGGGCAGCGACTCTCCGATAGCCCTCTGTGGCCCAGTCTCGTTTGTACCACATGGTGACTCGGACCTGCCCACCGACTGAGTCCTGGTTGGGAGCATAGAACTCCCTCCATTCTCTGTAAGTGTGCGGAGGAGGTGGAGCATCCTGTTCTTCATGTGGTGTCCATGATCCCGGATGAAAGATCTTGACCCACTGGGCATCTGGTTGTTGAGGGTCCGGACACCATTCCAGCCACGCCATGACAACGCAACCGCGGAAAGACAAATTGATAGGAGTACGGCTGCAGACAACAATGAGCAAAAGCGAAACAACTGCCACAATGCAAGAAACCACTTTTGCAACACTGCACAGCTCCGGTATCGAAGACAATCTCCCGAATCGAATTGAACTGAACAGACTCCCCAGGAAGGCGAGGACGAGCATCAGCCATCATCTGAGTTGGAGGATGCCGATGAAGGGGTCAGTCCAGCATACATGAGGTCCGGTGCGCCCGAAGCGAAAACTGGCCGCGCGATGCTAGGGCGCGGACGACCCAGACGTTGGTATCCCCTGGTGACCCAGTCTCTGTAATACCAAGTATAGAAGGATGCATAAGATACCGGTTGCGAAACAGCGCCTGTATTGGCGCCGCCTGTGCTTTCCCTAGGCCAATACACTTCGAAGTGGTGGACCTTGCGCCATTCCCGATAGGTGGTCGAGTCATCCGGGGCCGGTCCCAAGGTGTTCGCGGCGACTGGATGCCACGGACCCGGTACATAGATTCGAATCCATTCTACACTCGTGTTTGCTGGCCCATTGACGATGTCGTAGTCAAAGTAGCGAGGCAGGGCCCATCGTGCTGCACCATACACTGTGCAATTGAACATTTCAACCCGACAAGCCGCTCGAAGTCATAAAGGGAGGCGGCGAACAAATGGAGACGGAACGCACACCACCAAGCAAGACAACCCAACATGGATTCACATACAAAGCAAGCACAACCGCATCATTTATCCGACATGCTACTCAAGTGTCACTCCGAATGAGTCCAATGGCTGGTACAGGCGCTCCAAGTCGTTGATACCCTCGTGTTTGCCAGTCTCGGTACTCCCACACGTGGTAAGACACATAGTGTCAAGAGACGGCAAGGTGACGCCCCGTGGGACGCTATGCACCGAACCCTCAAGCTGTAATACCAACCACGTAGAAAGGTGTATACGGACGATGCCGTTATAGCCGAACCCGTGTAAACGTTGTAAGGGAGAAGGAATGATAGTTACAACAGTGGTCCTGACAAATGCAGCGCAAGCGAAGTGTTTTCGCTCTCAATGCCGATCACGTATGTATGCAGTCACACATCAGATCTTGAACCTCAATTGTGTCTTGAGCCAAATGGCGATCAATGGAACTTGGGAAGCAACACCAACAAGGACCTCAGAACAGCTACCCAATTTCGGCACGGGGCCTAGAGGGTTTTAACATCCCCCATTTGGGTCGCATTGTTCATCATGCGGTCCAAACACCACAAAACGTTCCACTGGCCACGGCTTCAACTACGAAATCGTGTCGTGCATTCTTTTACTTGCTATCACTACACCGTTCATTCGCTGTGAAACATGCCGGGTTCGATTGTACGAAAAGTGAAACATTCATCCTCCAATCGAAGCACACATCCATATGCAGGTGTATATAATACACTGTGGCCACTTCACTTGACCGCCAGTGAACATTCCAGCTGCCGCATTTGCGCATCGCGCAGCTGTCATCCATAAATGGGTTGGCCACAAAAGTCCACCAGACGCGCCCGCTTGTGATCGGTCTGCATATCTCCGGCAAAGAAACATCGGTGAGTAATCAATGCAAATCATAGCCATTCCAGATACCATGGACAATGCATAAATAATGAAAAGATATCATCTATAAGGTAATAGTTCCATCCATGAATATCCAGAGCGTCATAGTCATCGGAATATGTAACCATGTACACATCCATTCAACTTGGATATATGAAATCATATCATAATGTAGAGTCGTTCCGTCGCAATGGTGTTGATGAGACGCAAGCAACAGATGGGGACTAACCCACATCGTGCCGCAATCAGCATCTTCACTACGCATACCGGTCCCCAATGGACAGTCTGTGAGTGCGTCGACGGAACTCCTCGTCCAAGTTCTTCTGAGCTTCTCGTGCCCGGACACACTTCTTGTTGTAGTCCTCTGGCAACCAGTGCCCTTTCCGAAGGCACCAATCCAGCAGGGGTGTGTCGCATTTGTTCGGGTCGATGGCCGAGATGATGGCGCTCACGTTGACCGTGTAACCATGTTTGCCAAGGTTCAGGCCATCCCTCACGAATGATATATACTTACAGTTGAAAGCTAGTGCAAAACATCTGAAAATAATATCACCCACCGGGTGCACTCGGTCCTTGACCAGGAGCTTCATTTCTTCCTTGGTGACATCGAGGATTCTTGCTGCAATCCACAGCTTGTAGAATGTGTATAGTCCCTCGCATTTGTTCACCATCATACGAATATATTCGTCACGCTCCTCAACCGATCGGAAGGCTCTTGTCCGAACATTCTCCGATTGAGAAATCTTCGTTATTGTTGATGGCAAAAGTATACCTTCCTGATCATGCTCAGTGATGTTGGGGTACCTCTTGAAATCATTGTGATAAGGGCAGCCCGGATTCCCTTCGAGTCCGGCATTCATCGTTCTCTCCTCACCACCTTCAAACATCCCCCACATCTTGGACAGCTGGAGTGCGATAAATCCTGCCATGT